CCCAAGTTTTTCTGAAATTTACCTGCACATCATTTTTATAGCACAATAGTGCTATTCATATTACATTTATATACCACTTATGCCATTACATTCATATACCACAATTTGTTCAGCCATTGCCCACTTGATGGATATCCCCTCAGTTTCCAATTCTTTGCCACCACAAAAAGAGCTTATATAAATATTTTTGTACATGTGGGTACTTTTCCATTTTTTATGATCTCTTTGAGTTACAGACCTAGAAGTGGTATTGCTGGATCAAAGGGCATATATGCACAGTTTTATAACCCTTTCGGCATGTTCCAGATTGCTCTCCAAAATGGTTGGATCAATTCACAACTCTACCAACAGTGCATTAGCATCCCAATTTTCACACATCCTCTCCAACATTTATCATTTTCTTTACTGTCATATTAGCCAAACTGACAGGTGTGAGGTGGTACCTCAGAGTTATTATAATTTGTATTTCCCTGTGATTTAGAACATTTTTTCATGTGACTATAGATAGCTTTAATTTCTTCATTTGAAAACTGCCTGTTCATATGCTTTGACCATTTATCAATCGGGGATTGACTTATATTCTTGCAAATTTGACTCAGCTCTGTACATATTTGAGAAATGAGAACTTTATCTGAAACACTGACTATAAAGATTATTTCCCAGCTTTCTGTTTTCCTTCTAATCTTGGTTCCATTGGTTTTGTTTGTGCAAAAAATTTTTTAATTTAGTGTAATAAAAATTATCCATTTTATAATATTCTCTATCTCTTGTTGAGTCATAAGTTCTTCCCTTCTCCATAGATCTGATAGGTAAACTATTTCTTGCTCTCCTAATTTGCTTATGGTATCACCCTTTATGTCTAAATCATATACCAATTTTGACCTTATCTTGTTATATGGTGTGAAATGTTGGTCTATGCCTAGATACCTAGTGGTTATACTAATGAAGGAGTTAGGTATGGTGGCACATGTCTGTAATCTCAACCACCAAAGAGGGGAGTTCTGTGCTGTAGTGGGCTGTCCTAACTGGACATCCACACTAAGTTTGGCATTAATATAGTGAACCCTTAGGACGGGGAAGGGGCACTGGTTGTCTAAGAAAAAGCAAAGTGGCCCAAGTTGGAAATAGAGGAGCTTCCATGCCGATCATTAGTAGGATTGGCCTGTAAGTGACATCTGTACTTCCAGCCTGGGTGAGATAGGGAGGCCTAGTCTTGAAAGGAAAAGAAAAGGAAAGAAAAGAGAGAAAGAGAAAAGAAAAGAAAATGAGGTTATGATCAAGGTTTAGAATCAGGTCATCACCACCAGAAATTATGGGAAGGTTATCCTTAAGGGGCCAAGACTTATTGATCAAAGCAGATTTTACAATAAAGTGGTAGAAACTGTGAAACATGTAACTGCAGGCTGCAAAAATTTAGCACCTACCAGTTATTTAGAAATACACAATTGGGTGGCTAGGATTATGTACCAGAAACTTGTTATCTTTAAAAACTGACAACACATTCCTGTTCTACAAATACAAACTCCAACATATTCTAGGGAATTTGTCAAATAAATTGTACTGGAACTGGAGCATCATTACAGACAAAACTTTTGCCCACAATCACTCAATGTATCAATCACATATCCATAAAAATTTAAGACGAATATTATAATAATGCTCAGTGGTCAAGTACTCAAATTTCACAGAATAAAAAACTTTCAAAATATAGATACCTAGGGGGAAAAGTTGAAACTATGTAGCAATACAGTGAAAAAAGTGTCAAATATACCATCCTGTCTGCTAATGAAATTTATCTGAAGCTTATAGTAAGTCTAGAAAAGATAAACTTGAAACCTAATAATCCTATTAAAATACAAAAATTGTTCATTTTATCCACCTGTTTAATAGTCCACAGAACATGGCATATGAAAGAATAATCATTAGATCATAGATTTAGAGTCAAAAGGGACCTTACTGCAGGATAACAACTTGTCCTTGAACTCTCTCTACCTGAAACTCCATCAAAAAAAGATGAGAAGCTTGAGATGGTGGTGGTGGTGGTGATGGTAGTAGTAGTAGTAGTAGTAGTAGTAGTAGTAGTAGTAGTAGTAGTAGTAGTAGTAGTAGTAGTAGTAGTAGTAGTAATAGTAGTAGTAGTAGTAGTAATATTCCTTCCTAACATAAATCATATGATGCTATGAATATTAATAGCTCACATTTCCATAGTACCTTAAGATTTATAAGGCATCCCCCCTTCCAAAGTCCTATAAGTAATATTATTATTATTATTATTATTATTATTATTATTATTATTAGTATTATTATGCCCTAGCCTAGAAAGAGATGGACCCAAGGCCATTCACTATCTATCCACTGCCACTAATCCTTTACTTCCAACCTTAACCTTTTCCCAAGAAATAAGCCCAGAGAGAGGACATAATTTATTCCAGAAGTTTGCATTTATCATTATTCTAGTATTTATGCTTTTCTGCATTGCCTTCATTTCCAGACATCCCCACTCAGCCTGATACAATATTCATAACAGAGTACAATTCCCAACACAAGAAGTGAATCATCTCATCTATATTCCCTTCCCTTGGTGGAACTAGGACAGGGAAAGAGGAGCAGATGCTTCCAGGGCATGCCATAGAAGTAGGGCTTGGAGACTGGGTAAAGAGGCACTTCAGATTCATTTAATTCAATAAGCATTTATTTAGCATCTCTTCTGGGCAAAACAGTGTGCTATGTACTTTCTGACACTCCCATCCTCCCCAACCCTGATTTCGCATCATCCAAGTGTGCAGATCTTAGAACTTATCCTGAGTACCCAGAAGAGTTAGATGATCATCTATTCCCTTCTCTCCTTGGCTACTCAATTCCCTTTCTTTATTTGAGTGAGTCACATTCTTCTGCTTCCTTCTACCTCATTTTCTATACTATCACTCTCCTTCCCAATTTTTCCAATGAGAAATACTAGAATTGCACAGAAGATTTAGGTCAGGAATCAAGAAGAACTTCCCTACAATTAGTTTGTGAGACATAGACTCTTCCAGTGAAACTATGACATTTTCCTTAGGGAGTTTTAAAAATTATAGAATGTCAGAACCATACAGATCTGATCCAATCCCCTTATTTTATATATAAGTAAACTGAGGCACAGAGAAAGGAAGTGACTTGCTCATGGTCATGCAGCAGGTTAGTGGCCCTACCATAACTAGAACTCAGGTCTACTGCTTTCCAGTCCAATGTTCTTTTCTCTAAGCTGTCTCTCTTTGAAAGAGACAACTCTTTCTCTTTCCCTCCCATATATCTGATTCAGTTGAGGACAGTCCTGCCTGGAGGCAGAGGAAGGGAATGAATGGCCTCCAAAAGGCTCTGACAACCTTAGAAGTTGAGGATTCTCCAGCTTCACCTCTCCTCTTCATGGCTGCAGATGCTTCCCCCCATTGATCACTCAGAGCATCTGTTTGCTTTGAAGCTTATTGGAGATCAAGGCATTTGCTAATTGAAAACTAAAATATCCATCCGTCTCACTCACTGACAACGTGAAACTCACCCAGCCATACTGCATTAAACTAAAATTCACAGCACAGTGCCCCCAGGTTTTCAGGGCTGACAGAGGTCATCTGGTTTAATCATCTTCCTCCCTTCCAGGAAGACTATTCCTCTCTGCTTATCCCCCCACCCCAGCCTTGGACAAGTCAGATTCTCTCCTATTCTTATAGTGTCAGAACCTCTCTTCCTCATAGAGATGTGGAAGCACTTTGTTGGTAGGGTGCCAGTATCCTCATCCCCTTCTGTGCTCATATAAGAAAGAATTTCCCAAGTAGTCAGAGGTCTGTAGCTCTGGCATGAGACCACAGAATGAAGACTGGGGGTAAAAGAGAGAGAATCTATATAATTTTCTTTCTGGAGAACCTTAAATACTTTTATTTGGGGTCTGTAAAGGCAGCACTGATGAGCAGATGGATAGATTGACCTTTAGAGGGCTCTGCCAACCTTCAAGCCACTAAAATGTCCTAGTCCTTTTTTTTATAGACATAACAAATCTGCTTCAGGAGAGAGGAATGCTTACAGTCACCTATTCACTCTCCAGTGTCCCAGGTTTTTCCTAGATCTGATCTCACTAAATTTTCCTTCAAGTTCTCAGACAGGATAGGACAGGGGACAGCATAGGGACCACATTCCCATTTACAATGGGAATCCTTGTAATCTTGCCTCAGTAGCTCTTACGTGTTCCGGGTGACAGGATTGGAGGGAAGGGAAACATACCTACAACCTGTACTGGTTTATGACAAAGCTGAGCCTAGAGCCAAGACCTCAAGATTTTCATTTTCCATCTTCTTCCCACTCCACCGCCAACACCATGCAGGCCTCTCCTGCTTGAACTGGGGGTAGTACAGAGACCCAGTCAGAGGCAAAGCCCAGAGACCTGACTCCCACTAAGGAGAGGGAACCCCGATGTCCTCCTATTTCTTGAGCTGTAGTTCTCCTTCACCTCCTCCCTCCCCCACCCTTCTCTATAGGTGAGTTTCATCTTAGGGACTTCACTAACACTCCATCACTGGTTCCAGGAAAAGAAACCAACCACAAATTTTGGGAGAAAATTGGCCCCAGTGGCCAAGAGGGCATATGGTACCACAGGGGTGGGCTAGGTGAAGAAGACTGTGGGAAGTCTCTGTCTATCCCTCGAGGGTTCTGCATCTTCTTGGCAGGGTAGGTTCTAAGAGGTCCAAAGGGACTCGAGGGGACTGGGAGGTGTGCGAGTCCCCAGCGGCTCACTTAGCAGGAGGAGCTGAGTTTCTATGTGAGTCAGAGGAGGGATCCAGAAGGGGACTGACAAGGGACAGGGGCGGTGCCTGGGGGCTGGAGAAGGCTCACGGCTGAGACAGCCCCGCCCCCTGGCCCCGTCCCCGCCCTTCCCAAGCCTCGCGGCTGTCCAAGCTCAGTGCTGGAGCCGACGCCTCCCGAGCGCAACTCGCCGCCTCTCCGCGCTATCGCCGCGCACGCCCGCACTAATTACTCGTCCACCATCGCTCCGCCCCGCTACATTCTGCTTTCCCCCGCCCCACCCCACCCCACCCCATCCCACCCCTGTGCCCAGTTCACTCCTCCCCCGCAGGGTCGGAGCTCTGGGGACCAGAGTCGGCGGTCAGCCTGGGACCTCGAGTGGAGCTATTGGGGCAGGTAGCCCCGGGGCAGGAGCCAGGGATCCCAGCAGCCTTGCTACCTGAGCCCGGCTCCCCTAGTCCCCGGCCAGCTGAGAACTGCAGGAGCCCAAGAGACGCCCCAGGACAGCGGAAGGAACGGCCGAAGGAGCTTCTCCTGGAGACTGCTGAAAAAAGCCCGTCACGCGTGGATGCGGCGGGAGCCTAGAGACGCGTGTAGCCAGAGCCGCTTCTGCCCTCGGGCGCCTTATGGCTTGAAGGTTAGAACTGGGTCTAAGGGGAGGGAGGCGGCCACTGGGGCCAGATTCAGACCTTGGGAACTGTAAGGCAGATTTCTCAGACAAAGGGCTGGAGTTTTTCTCCTTGGAGGGAATGGTGTACTTGAGAGGTAGAACTTTGGCGAGCGCCTGCTCCAGCTTGGGCTCCCAGTGACCCTCGGCGCCCCCTTGGAGCTCGGTGCTTTCCATTGCACCTCTCCTCCTATGAGCCTAGTTGGAGCTCAGGGCTGGGGCAGGGCTCAGACGCTTCACCAGAAGAGCATCCTCCCGAGACCAGAGGAGACTCTAGTTGGGGTCTCGTTCGCCTGCGGGGACTCCCTGACAGTCATCTGGAGTGTTTTCTTCCTCCCCTGCCGCTTTAGACAGGTTTCCTCAAGGAGCAGAGTTTTGAATCTAGTGGCGACCAGGCTTGGTACAAATATTCCACCCTCTCCATAGCTCTCTTCATTCTGAATATGAGCCCAGCAAGGGACCCCCGTCCCACTTCCCTCACTCCGGGAGGTGGCCAGAGTCGGGGATAGACTGTGGAGGCGCCGAGAACCAGGCGGAGTAAACAAAGTAGGGAGCAGAGAAGTGGCGCTAACCCGACAGGTAGGGATCTAAGGAGCCAGTGTGAACACTACCCTGCTTTAAACCGCTTTCCAATGATAACCCCAACCTGGAACCTGACTTCTCTCTGCTCCAGTTGTGGAACAGATGACCATTAAGATAGGTTGCTACTAGCAACTCAGCATTCATTCGTATATACTGAGGCCTCTTCTTCACCCTCTTTCTCTCTTCTCTTTGACTCTCAGCCAATCTCTCTGTCGCTTTGTTTCTGTCTCTTTTATGTTTCTGCTCTCTTTCTTTCTTTCTATGTCTCTCTGTATCTGTGTCTATCTCTCTGCTCAGCAGATTTCCACCCCCACCATCAGTCCCCTTCAGGTTCTTTCTTCTTTCATGTCGTCCAGCTTCCTCAATTATCTTTTTATTAGAGGCATTGATTTCCATTAAACTTAACCAGGAGTCAGGTTGGAAGCAGAGGGTGGGCTTCTAGCTCCAGAATGGAAAGAGGCCCTGATTAGGATTTGCATGGAGAGGTGGGGGAGCATCTCTGTGGGCAACAAAGAGGTTTAGATAAACTGAGGACATCTCACACCTTGTCTGCTCTGAGACAGACCTGTGTAGGAAAAAATGAGATCAAATGTGAGAGGGTGCATGCATGCACAAATCATAGCCCTTGTATAAGACATTTATTCAGTTCCCTGAAGTCCCATAGGATAAGTTTCTAGTTGTTGCCTACAGAAAAAGCTATTGTAACCCAGTCACTGTCCCCAATGGCTTCTCTTAGATATCGAGGGTAGGAGTTTCTGAAGATGAGGTGTGCTAGATGGCTGTCTCCTACTTGACACATCCTTAGGTAGCGAAGTCTTCTTTTGGAATTTGAACATCACCCTAACCCTGGGACCTCCATATAAGATGTCCAATCTGAGGAACCACAGTGGTTTTCAGACCCATCTCACTCTCAGTGTTCAGGATTGTCCACTGAGATCGAACATTTCTATGGAAGTAGTCATGCTTCTCCTGGATTCATCCTGAGGCATTAGGGTAAGATGAGAAGAAAAAAAAAGAAATTATTGTTTGACCTGTTGCTGTCATTTGGCAATTGGGGGGAGTGACACGGTAGTTAAGGTGAAAGAAGATTAAAAGGACAGCAAATAAACCAGCTTTCTGCCTCTCTCCCCTATCCTTTTGCTTATCCACTTTGTGTCCAGTATTCCATCTGTTCCCCCAGGATCCTGGTATTTCTTCTGAACTCAGGTTTTTGCCTGGTGAGAGACTCTGGAGTGAATGACCTTGACCTAAGCATGTGTCGTTCAGGAATCCCTACCTTTATCTACTTGAAGAAGGCCATACTCTTCCTTCCTATTCACTTTTCACTTGGGAAAGAGAGTGTGGAGAAGGGAATCAGAGGCATGAGATTCTCCTGATTTTTATAAAGTGGAAGGGTCTAGTGAACTGATTATCCTAGAATTTCTTGAGCTAAAAGAAAAATTAAGACATTAATTTATCAATACTCTACTCTCTACAAATAGACATTTTCAGTTCACAGGATGGCAAGGAACTGGGGTAAGGATCACTACCACAGAGTTTCTTCTAGGAAGGACAATATTCTTCAGCACTCTGTTCCCAAGCATACTGTTGGGTTTCTCTTCTTTCCTAAACATGTCCTTATTCAACTCCAAGAATTCACCCATGTGACTTCAGAATTGCCAGCCCGAGTGCTTATTTCTCCTTTTGGGTTTCTTCTTACCATCCTCACCTTTAGAGTTAGTGCCAATTTTTTCCCCTCAAGGTCTGATAAACTAACCTTTCCTGAAATTCTGAGGAGTGATTAGTTCAGGCTTACAGAGCATCATGTTCCCCAGAGAGGCTGTGCAGCTCATGCCAGGTTGTCAGTGAGTGTTTTACTGTATTGATTTGATTCTTCCTACACTATAGTCTAGGGAGATTCTAAGGAAGTTGACAAGGCTGGTAACAATGCTTGTGGGCTAGTCTGTCTTCTATCCCTATCTGCAAGACTGAATTCTTCTGTATAGAAAGTATAAATCTAAATAATGGATGGTGCTGAGGACTTGGATTTGACAGAAACTTTCTAGCTTTTTAGGATATTAACATTAATTGGACAGGAGCATGGTATCTCCTAGAAATACGGCCATATGTTTCAATGAATGCAAGCAGAGATGCTCTCTGAGTGGTTTTCGTCTGATCTGCATTTGAAAGTAGAATCTATGCAGAGGAAATAGCACAGAGCAATGAGTAGAATACAAGACCTGGTGGGGTGGGAGTGAAGGAAAGAGAGGTTGGTCAGGACTTTTGTGTTCCAATCCTGTCTTTGTCACTCACACTTTCCTGCCTCCTTCTTTCCTGATCCTGGGATCCTGGTTGCTTAACTTGTATACAATACCTGTAGCTGAAAGTGCTTTTGGATTTGAGGAAGACAGGAGAGTGACAGTCTTGAGGCTTCCCAATGCACAGTCAATTAGATACTGAAGATCAGCAGACCCCAAGATATAGGCACTGCTGTTGCTATGTGACATTGGTGCATGTTGGGAGGGTATGATCACCCCTCTGAGAGAGGGCTTTGATCTGCCTCAGACACCATGCCTCCCAGTCAAGCCAGGTATCCCTGCAACCTCTAGTGGACAGACCAAGTAGTTTACAGATCAATCAACAAGCATGTATTAAGTGCCTACTATGTGCCAGGCACTGTGCTAAGTGCTAGAAGGATACAAAGAAAGGCAAACACAGACCCTACCCTCAAGGAGTTTCCTTTCTAAGGGGGAGATAATATGCAAATAAATAGGTACCTACAAGATATGTGCAGAGCAGGTAGAAGAGAGCTTAGGGGGTCCAGATGAGGGGACTGAGGTCTGATGCTTAAGTAGGTGAATTTCTTTCAGGTGACTTCTCAAATTGCTATCTTGAAGTGCCAGGTCCATTCAAAGATCATTCAGTCCATTCTCTTGACTCTAGGCAGGCTCCTTTTCTATTTTAGGACAAACCTTTTTCTATTCTTAAAGCTCCCCCAAGAAGGAGATAGTAAAGTCTTCCGTGGTCCACTGCTCTAATACCTTGCCCTCCTGAACCACCTCTGACAGAGATCTCTAGGTTGCTTGAGTCTGGGTTCAGGTACCAAAGGGCCTATATGCTAACCTATAAGCATGGCTTCATAACTGAACTCTCTCCTAGTCCTGGCAATAACCAGGAACCACAGATAGAATGGTCAGCCCTGCCTTTCTATTCCTATGTGCAGCACCCCTACATGCCTGGGCCACAGTAATCATTTGGAGGTTCCTTATGTTATTTCGATTTTAGCTTGGGCATCTCTTAGCCCTAGGAGGAAAACTGGAAGATCTGGTTCCATGATTATGTGTAAGCACTCCAGCTCTCTGAGATGCTAAATGGACTCACTAAGCACATGGAAGTAGCTTGCTTCCTGTTTCTAGACAGTAGACTGATATTAATCATCTCTAGCCTTTTTAATTACTTTAATAGTAATGGAATCCAGAGTTAGCATACCCCTGCATCTTCCCTTCCCCCAATGTAATTGAAGACTTCTTTTTTTATTTTTTACAAAAGACTCATATTATCTAAATTCATGGGCTTGGAAAATAGCATGATTGTTGTGTCAGTACGTGTGGGTGGTGGAGTTAAACCGAAAGATTCAGCCACTCTTTTTTGCTTCCATTTAGGTCCAAGAAAGGGAGAGACACATACCCTTCTGGACTCAAACTTTGTCTCACTATGCCCTAATTCCTTTCTCTCAGGCCCACATCAAGGCTGATGAAATTAAAGAAGCAGCCCTCCCACCCTGCATTCCTCAAAGAAGACTGAGCTCCCTTCTCCCAGGGAGATAGAGTCCTTGCTCTCTGTCAGTAAATGAATGTGTCCTCTGCCTGTTCCCTCTTCCTAACCTCTACTGGCTAGACTGCTCAGGGTGAAGCCAGAAGTAGTGAATTTGGGGCTGGGACCACTCTGCTGGCATCTGACCAAGACTACAGGTATTTTCTGCCTAACTTCATACATTGGCTCTACAGAAATGTGCTGACAAACAAAACAATGTTACAGGGAGCAGTTTGTCCTGTAAGAACACTATTCCAGCCGAGTCTTTCAGTACCATGAAGAAGCTTTGTTATAATCTCTTAATGACTTTACTAGGAAAGCATAGCATGGCTATACCATAGCTTATGCCTGTGCTTCTAACTGGGGCTAGAGCCTGGGAGGCCACTGAAATGCTTTGGGGGAAGAAGTGGCTGGGTGGGTAAGAGGGAGCATAAAGGAGTGAGTTCTCAATATATTTTGTCATTAAATATAAAATATTCAAATTAACATTTTAATTTAATTTAGTTCTCACATCAACCTTAGGATGTAGGTGCTATCATCTGCAGTAGAGGTTAAAGCGAGTCAGCCCAGGATCACATAGCTAGTAAGTATCTGAG